TATTCTGCTTTTTGTGTACAAGACATACCTGGGCAATTTTCCACTTTGCTGGGTAGATGCCAGTGTTGTACCTGAACTGGAACAGGAAGTATCCTGTTCGATCCTTTCATGTCCAATTGTATGACTTCACATTTGCCTCCGTTGAAATACATGTGCAACTATTTTGGTTATCTATCAATAATCAACAATGTAATACTTAATTCTATTAATATCTCTTTGTAATTTTATACTGTTTACCTTCATACTTTCGACAAATTTGACGACGAATTCAATATTGAAAATTCAGTTATCTGATAACCAGAATTTACCAAAGCTGGAATTTTTTCCTCTCTGGACATCTGGGTGCTGCCTCCAGGACAGAATAAGCACGGGGATGAAGAGGTCGTTCTTAGTCTGATCCCAGAAAATTGAATCAGTCAAGGTTTTGCACAGAATTCAATGCAATGCTTTAATGTCTCCCTCCCTGCTCACCCCAATCCCCACCCCACCCCACCTAACACAGATCTTCCCTATTCCCTGGATGCAAAATGTCTTGTACCAGCAAGTATTTGAAAATCCAGGAAATTCCAAAATTTGTTACAGTTCCAGTCCCGGAGGTGTCAAATCTTGGATACCGAACCTGTATGTGTTGTCCTCTTTGATCATCTAAGCCATTGACACAGATCCCAGTAGGAAACCACACGTTACTTTGTACCAATTAGAGTATCTTCCCATAACTTTCCATCCTCCATTCTACTCTGCTCAGCCAATTTTCTAACCAAGTTAATAATATTCCTTCACTGAAATCCTTGAAGTTCAACATTAGCCAACAATCTCTCTTGAGAAATTTTATCAAAAAAATTTTGGAAGCTCATATAAAACACATTCATTGACATTGCCCTGTCTCCTATTCAGCTCTTCAACCAAGTTTTTGACTAATGCGTTTTAAATACAACTCTGTTGTTTTTTCCTCATATCATTGCTGAATGCTTCATTTTAGTCTTCCTAAGTGCATATCCAAGTTGAGCTGATATTGCTATGACTACGTGATGTAATTAGAAATTAAAGATTAGTAATTTATCATCTGAAAGACTTTTCCCAGGTGGGCAGTGGGTATTTGAACTGCTAGCAGAGAACTGGTACAGTAATGGGATATGAAAACTAAGGCTTCTTGGAGGGGTGGAACAGGGAACCTGGGAAATTATAATGGGAACGAGACTGAAGATAGATGCAACAAAGTTCAGGGAGCCAAGCCTTATGCCCACACACAGAGATATGAAACTGGAGCGATGGGCAGTTTAGTGTGTGACAGTGATTGGTACTGTCTTGACCTGCAAGATTTCTTCACAGTGCAGGAGAAATTTAATCACCTCACTTTGTTCATTATTCTCATGCTACCACAGGAATAAGAGGTTAAAATATCTGACAATGGGACAGGCTTTGTTAAAAATGTCATTTAATCCTGAGCTCAAGAATTCAATTTTCTTGGGTCCCACTCATGCAGAATTAATATTGCGCTATTGTAAAGGCTTCATATTTAATTTTATTTAGAGCTTGAGTTTTGAAAAAAATGTAGAAGAAGTTTAAATTATGTGGATGCCTGGTTTGGTCTTTCTGTAAAGGTAATTAACAGACAAGTCTGGGAAAGCTCATGACTTTAGTTGATTATTTCGACTCACTTCATTAGATATCACCAGCTTCGATTTTGTGGCTGTCTTGTTCAAATTTTGTTTTGGATGTCAGTTGGTGAAAAATCAACTTGGGGAAAAGTTGCACAGATCATCTCCCTGTCTTTCTGAAACACCCTTATTGTGAACCCAATGTCAAACCTTATTGTCCTCTTGAAGAACAATAGTGACTTCTTGATACTATGGTTCCTGAACAAGTTTTGTCTGCCATGACCCCACTGACAACTGCTCATGTCTAATGCCTTATCCAAGTGTGCCAGAATGCTAGATCAAAAGCCATAAAAACATTCCTTATCTTAGTCATTTTCTCCTCAAGAACAAACTATTATTGGCCTGAAGTATTTTTTCCCAAAGTGAATTTCTGCATAGAGAAATCTGCTTTTTTCCCCTTTACCTGGTATGTGTGCATAGAAGGGTAAACATTTACCTTTTCATATTACAAAGTGTGTGTAAACCCATTTTGAATCTTCAACGAATCAGTTTTGTTTTATAATAAATCAGTAATTTTGTGTTTGTTAAAGAAACTTGGCTGATGGTTCTTTTTATTCTAAGTCTAATACTGAAATAGTATATGTTTTGGGAATTGAACAACCCAATTAAATTGATGTTGTGACCTATAGAGTGGCGGAGCTAGAGGCAGACAGTGACCCCCTCCCATTTCACTTGTAACAGCACTCGCATGACACCACTGAAAAGCAACTCAGAGGACCTGAAACAGGTAGCAGAGTAATGGCAGAGTCACTGCATCCTCTGTGCCAATATCCAAGAAAATTTGATACAATGCATTGCTACCTGGAGCATATGATAGTACCAAGAATATCTGTATCTGCCTTCCCACAAACAGAAAGGCCTCCAAAACATGCAATGTACCCAATGTCAATACTTTAATCATTGGGGTTCATGCCTTGAGGTATAATTTTGGGGAAATGATAGCAAATGGCTCCTGAGAGCTTTGTCACAACATATCCCAGGGGTTTGCAGAATCTAACTGATGTCATTGTCGTCTCCGTGACCAGTGTACAGTCAGATCTAGGATCTTGTATAAATGCTGTGACCGGTACTTGCCTTCAACTTGTTTTCCTTTCTTTTGATCACATCTCATGTGAATGCTACAGTTCACATTATTGGTCTCCATCAGCTAGCGATCCCAGCCTAAGACTTAAATATTTAGCAACCATCTTTTGCTTTCTACCTAGAAACATAGAACAATCACATCACAAAAGGAGGCTATAACTTGTCCTTTCATGTTTGTGTCACTCGAAAAACATTGATGCAAAGTAATTACACTTTCTAACTTTTTGTCTTATTGTCTTGTAGATTACAATACTATTTCTAAGTAACATTTCAATCCGCTCAGTGAATTTCCTACTAATTCACTTCAATTACTTTAGTTGTGATCACAATTATTGAACTTTACCAGATGTCTGCCAAAAACTATCATCAATCCAATTAAAGTCAAAGACATTATGACAATTATATTTCTAACCTCTACACCTTCTCAAAGACTCAACAAATTCTTCTTCAGTAGATAGTATCACATAGAATGTATATTGTGCCAGCTTTAGTTATCCAATATTTGTAAATTTCATACAATTCCAATAAATTGCACTAACAAAACCGGTTCATTCTGGTTAAAGTCAAGAATCAGTTGTGGAATGCAGATATACCTGTATTGAAATGGAGGGAGGAAGGTTTAACCTTTTGCATTCAGAGTGTCCTTTGCAACTTTCAGTTTTTTATGTAATAACCACTGTCAAAGGTATGTTTGTTTGAAGCACTGGATTTAACAAATTAGAAATAGGAATCTATATATACATTTTGATGACTGAGCATAATGAGCACTGGCTACCTGCTTAACAAATTGCTTTAGGTATTTCTACTATCCTGGAAGGGTTAAAACATATTACTGGTTATGTCCTTGACACATTCATTTTTAACACAAATCTTGCAGATGTGAGGGTATGTAAAGCCTTTCCTTTTTTTTCACATACAGCTTTTCTGAAAGACGTTTGTGAAAGACAAAAAGGGAATAAATAGTTCTTTATGAACTTTATTTACTTCAGATTACATACTATTGTGTCGATCTGAGCTCATAGGTACTAAAACAAAGCAGTGTATTGCTGCTATGTTGTAAAGTTTTGCGTTCCTCTTGTTCATGAGCACTTTAAAAGGCTCATTACTTTTTCAAGGAAATAGGAAAATAATAAAATTGTCTTTCTCAATCGTTAAAATATGGTAAGTTACAATTTTTACGTAAGAAATATAAGACTAGTTGTGACAAGCAGCTTTTACTCATGTCAATGTATATGTTGTTTTGTGTGCTTTACTAATATTTGTGTAATTATATTTGCATTCATTTATAGTTATTACAAATACAGTCTTCACTCTGGCTGTGAAATATAGAAATTAGAATATTCAGTGATACGTACACTCCTGTGATTGCTAGCTATAGTTTAACTATATTTTGACCAGATTTGTTTGCAGCAATTTTATTAGTGATGGCTTATTTACTTAATGTAGTCACTTACAACATTTACTTTCGCACTTTATTATAGTTAAATAGTATTCAATGGTGTTGGATAAAATAATTAATGGCTTTTAAAAATGTTCAGATTTTTCCTTGTAGAAAAAATTCCGATTATATATTACCTGTATCATTTACTTTAAGGTAATGGAAATAAAAACTGTAATCCCTCAAGATCAGCATCAACCAGAGTGATACAACAGTTGGTGTTATATTGTGTCATTACCAGCAGTTACCCTCCATGGCTCTATGTACGACTTTGTGAGGCTAGAATCAAAAGGGGTGCCAATATTGTAGAAGGGTTGCCTACTGTAGGAGATCACAGAGATAGAGAGAGCTAAAGATGAATTTCAGAACAAGGATGAGAATTATAAAATTGAGATACAGCTTCACTGGGGACTACTGCAGGTCAGGGGCATATGGGTGATTCAGACCTGATGCGAGTTAGAACACGTGGCAGAATTTTAACTTCCAAGATTACCGCTGGTAAAATGTGGGAGGCTGGTGGATAGTGTTGAAAAAGTCAAATTTAGAGATTACCAAGGCAGAGACGAAGATATCAGCAGTAGATGAGCTAAGACAAGGGCAGATCCACTAAACATTATGGGGGAGGAAAGATAGATAGTTTTTTGGGATGGTCCAGGTATACACTCAGCACCTGATCTGAGAGTCCAATGTCACACCAAAGTTAAGAACAGTCTGTACAAACCAGAATCACAGAATATAACAGAACAACCAGAATCACAATTCAAATCCATTGAAATCCTACAATACAGAATAACTCATTTGCATTCTTTTCTCATTTCTAGGCGCAGAAATCCTGGATTGAAGGGGTTTTTTATAAGCGAGAATGTGGCAAAATTATACCCAGTTCCAAAGATTCACACAGGTTAGTAGATACAAGTTTTAACACATTCGAAAGATTTGCAGGGACTCTTCTGAAATCTAGTTTAGTAATAATCATACTATATCAAACATAACTGTTTATTGATAATTATAATTTATATTTCTATTATTTTGATAAGTATCAGACTTATTGGGAGGAGAGCCTTCTGTAATCAGCTAAAACCTGGTGCTTGAAAACAGGAGCAAGTAAAATGCTTATTAAATTGGAGATAGGCTGATCTCATGGGATATCCTTTCACTGTCCCGGATTATCTTCCAAGCAAGTTACGGGCAGGTCCGTAAAGGGCCTGGAATGGCGAGTTACCCAACAATGAGAGGAATCTGAAACATTGAGAGAATCAGTATTTCAAAATGTTAAAATAGTTACAACTATGAGGTAACTGATAAATCAGAGGTAGAACTCTAGTGTGTCAGGTGATGGGTTCAACCATCACTTCAGAAACTTGAGCACACTATCCGAGCTAAAATTTGAATGTGAGAGTGCTGCGCTGTTGTGGATGCCGTTTATTAAATGAGATGCATAAAGTGAAGCAATGAAAAGACCCTTCAACAATGGTTTGTAGAGAAGTTGATGGGATGCTCAGATTTTCACACTGTCCTTCAGCTTTTTGTACTTGGCCTCCTCTGGGGCCTGTCAAAGATATTAGAAATGATTAGCACTGTGACAGATGCTTTGACTCCAGTTTGAGTGGTCTTGGGCAAGAGCTTCCCATGAGACAATGGGAACGTTGCACATTTTTTTCAGGGAGGCTTTGAGAATGACCTTGAAATGTTTCCTCAGTCCTCCTGGTAACTACTTGCTGTAATGAAGCTAGAAGTAGGGAACGTGTGTCAAGGATGTAGATGATATGGCCCACCCAATGCAGCAGAATGACAACTGAGTGCCCCAATACTGGGCAGGTTGGCCTATGAGAGGTCACTGGAACATCCTATCAGACAGTCAAAGGCTGCACTGCATACTAGAGGTGATGTTGAAATTCATCATCATTGTCTGCCCTCACTGAAAGGAGGCTCCCAAGGTGTTAGAATTGATCCACAATGTCTATTAGCTTGCTATGGATATTGGTAGTTGGGTGGAGGTGTTGTACAGTGGGAGCACGTGACTGAACAATCTTTGTCTTCCAAATATTTAACCTACTGGCCATTATCTGTTATGCCTCTGAGAATGTACCAATGATGGTTTGGAGCTCGGTCTGTAAATGTGAGCATGTTGTCTGTGTACTGCAGCTTGATTGCACATTGGGCTGGACTTGGTTCTGCATTGGAAGTGAAGGGATTCTAACTGGGTTAGTGGCACTGTTGGCTCTCAGCTCTTGCAAGTCATGTTATAAATGACCAACCTTATGTTGGTCTGGTGTTGTGCTGAGCTGGTAGCAGGATGTGGTTGACACTACTCACAGCAAGGATGGAGTCTCCTTTGAAGAAACCGCTTGTCTCTCTGTTTATAACTCTCAGTGGGATAGGTCCTTGTGTTTTTGGGTTATAGATGCTCTTGACAGAGCAGAAGAATTGTCATGGTTGTCACTGAGTTTCTGGGTTTTCTGCACCCTATCGACCTCCTATCTGTTACTAAGGTTATGGTGTTTGTGTTGGAGCTGGAACTTCATTTATCTGTAGACCTGTTTTCTTTCCCTTGAGTTTTGGTGGTGCCTGTAGTTCTGGAATACCTCACTGGCGATACAGTAACATTTGGTTGTCTTGATCCAGTCATGCTGTTTCCTGGTAGAGAAACCTAAAGTCTCCTCCTGAGTGCTCTTTATGAAGGGAAGGGCAGGCCAGGCCAGGCTCTGTGGACATTCTGTGGTTCCTATTCTTCAGCATTACCAGGTTGACTGTGAGGCAATGGTTAAGTAGTTGTTTCTTCATCGAGCTGTGCGGGGCTCAGCGCTTGAAATTTTTATGTTTGTGGTTCACTAGAACTATAAATAGAACACAAGGTGGACGGAGGATAAACTTGAACAGGGAATACTTTATTGTGCTTCTTCTCAGATCCACTGCTGGTCTTAGACTGCCTCCCCTTGCTCCTGCTTCTGGATCACCTGACCCTTTCTACTGAAGGGGCAGCACACACCCAACTACATACATAACACTCCCTTTATTTTGATATTCCCCTTAATATATATACATGCAACAACTATAACTCTTATATAGGCATCCTAGCTAACATATGTACTTCATCAGGAATATTTACCAAAAAAAACATGGAAAATGGAAATAATACTTCTCTAATGTACAATGTCATGATCGGTCTTTCAGGGGGAGGGCAATTCCTCAAGACCATCTCCTCATCTCAGGAACCTTTTCTAGTGTGGTCTCCTGGGCTTGCAGAAACTCCTGTTGTCCCGCAGGTCTGTCCCTCTGACTGGCTATTGTTGCTCTGTGATGCTGCTGTTGTCTCCTCCCTGGGTATGGCCAATCCTGGCTCAGAGACACATGACTCAGTCTGCACCCCTGGTACTGTCTGGACCAGCTCTCTCTCTCTTTTTTCACCATCTGTCCTTCTTGATTTCGCTCTACCACCTCTCTGGTCTCTTCTGGTCACAGTAGGACAAACGTGGTTCTCAGTTGGGGGTTGAACATTAAGAATGCCAGCAAGCACTGGGTCTTCACATGTGGTGTGTTCTTGTACATGCTGAGGAACTTTTTGATTCGCTGTCCTCGCAAACCGTCCTTTAAGGACTGCTTTAATGTTCGTACAAACCTCTCCGACTGGCCATTTGTTGCTGGGAGATACGGAGCCGATCTCACACGTCTGACTCTGTGATCTTCCAGGTAATCCTTAAACTCTTGTGCCACAAACTGTGGACCATTGTCACTCATGACTTATTCAGGGTTCCCAAACGTGGCAAATATTTCATCCAGTCAGCCTATCGTCGCTTTAACTGACACTAACTTCTTGACCGCTACTCAGGACATCTTCAACAACTAGTAACACCTGTCCCACTACTGATCCCGCAAAATCAACATGGATTCACGGCCATGGGTGAAGGGGTGACAACAGCGGCACCTCCCATACTAATGCACAGGATTCACATGATCCCACTTTCTCCTCAATCTGGAAGTCCATAGTTGGCCACAAAAGGTAGCTCCTGGCTATTTCTTTCATTTGCACCTTGCCAAGTGCTATTGGTGCACTTGTTCTAGTGTCTTTCCTCTTAACGGGGAAGGGATAATAACTCTCATTCCCCACATTAAACACCCAGCTCATACAGACAACTCCCATTTCCTGGACAGGTAAGGGTGTAATTCAGTGGCCTTCTCCCAGGGCCAAGTCCACTAATCGGTTCAAAACTGTGTCATTCTGGGTAGTATTCCGTACTTGACTTGCTGACTTGTCATTCTGGGAAAAGATGGTCCATGACCGTCCAGAACAGATCTGGCGCTGACATGATGCCAAAAGGCAGTTGCTTATAACGGAATAGTCCTCTGTCTCAGGGCTGAGACTCCATCGTGACCCCTGTCTATAGGTTGGCCTGCAAAAGATCATTTTTGAAAATTTCTTCACCCCAGCCGATCCACTGAACAAGTCCTCAATGTGTCAAAGTAGGGATTGATCCGCACGTAGTGCCGGGTTGAGGGAGACGTTAAAGTCCCCACAAATCCTCACTGTGCCATCTGTTAATAAGGCTGGGATGATGGGAGTGGCCCATTCACTGGTGGTTACTGGTTTCAACACTCCCAGCTTCACCAGCCATTCCTGTTCTACCCCCCTCCCCCTCCCCCCACTTAGGTCAGATGGCGTATGGTTCAGGATGTGCCTTCAGACTCTTTGACAAGCCTCCTGTCTCAACCAATGTTTAATTTCCACTCCTTTCATTTCTCCCAGGGTTCCCTTGAAGACATCCTTATACCTGTCCACAATCTCTTAAAACCTGTGTTTGAGTTCACCAACCTTTTAACCACACCCCAATTTAATTTAATTTCTGTGACCAGGAGAGTCTTAACGATGCGGGTTATTTCCCTTTTGCTACGTACGGTGGCAGTTCAGCACAATGGTCCCTTAGCTGTACTTTTACCAGTGCATAGTCCTTTAGTGGCACCACTTATTCAATGTAACTTTGGCAGGCTTCAATGGCAGAGCCTGTAACTTCTCCCTATAGACTGATTCAGGAATCAGAGACACTGCTGCATGTATATCCAATTCCATCTTTACTGTCTTATCCTCCAATTTGGGAAGAACACAGAAACAATCAACTTCACCTCTTACTCACAGGATGTTTAATCGAAACTCTGCTGACTCTGGGCCTTTGGCTTCTCCCGCACACCCGGCTAACTCCCGGGAGTACTCTCTACCTTATGCCTTGCCTTTTGAATTGTCCCCTTGAGACACCACTTTTCGCGGTTGGGTTGTACCAGCAATTTCGGGCAATATGGCCCATTCACTGACACCTTCACTGGGCATCTTGAGTCCAACACATTGACTCGTTGTGGTCACTCTTGCCACATTAGTGGCATTCTATGGTTGGTACCACACTCTGCTGCATTTCTGCTATTTTACGCACTTGGGCATTATCTGTCAGCTGTTTTGCTTCAGTGAGGCCAACTCGAAGTAACAATTTTGAAAGCTGCCATTTGTTGGATGGCTTTGTGTCAGAGGCCACAAACCAAATGCTCCTGCATGTCTTCTTGGAGGAACCTTCTTAATTTGCAATGTTCCACTAACCTTTTTCAGGCAGCTGGACGACAGACTTTCCTTCGTGCTGTGCAGGATTATAAATATGGAAATGTTCATAGAATCCCTACAGTGTGGAAACAGGCCCTTTGGCCCAACAAGTCCACACTGACCCTCAGAGCCTCCCACCCAGACCCATCCCCCATAACCCACCTAATCTGCACATTCCTGAACAGTATGGGCAATTTACCGTGGCCAATCCGCCTAGTCTGCACATCTTTGGACTTCTGTAATCATCAGTGGCTTTGGTGAAAAATAACTTCCCAACACTTTGCATGGTTCTTGGAATGCCTTTTCCGTGGGTTTTTCCC